AGAATCACTCAGTGAAACTTTTTCTTTTTATTTTAAACTCCTTTCTTAAATTACTGATTTAATTTCTTAAATTTAATTTGTCAAAAATCAAAACATTTATTTCCTTGTTTCGCCACTGTCCGTCTCAAATAGTGAATAATATGGATCCACCACACTATTTACTACTACTACTGCGTTTTACACTAAAAAGCAGTAATTCTCGCAAAGCAATGTACTTCCTTTCTCTTTCAATTCGGAGTTAGGGTCCGAGTTCAGTTTACTCAATTATGCCGAGTACATAACAATTAAAAATGATATATTTTTTCAAATAGAATCAGATTTTGTTTTCGTTTAAAAATAGCAATTATATTTTTCACTCATATCTTTTTTAATTTTCAGTCCTAACTTATCTTTCTTCAGCGAAAATAATAACAGAAACAATAAATAATTAATTAAATGCTTTTCATTATTCAAAATTAATATATAATAAAATTAATATATAATAAAAATAACCTAATGAAGGCATTTCTAATATTTTATTTTGTCAAGTTCAACTGATTATATTCTAAAATAAAAACAAACAGAACAAATTTGAGGGCATATTTTTCTCGGCTTACCACTTCTTAAAGTGAAAGAAAGCCCATTTGTTTCCTACTGAACCATCGAAACATTGTACAACAAAACAATGACACACATATATAATAAATGTATTTCCCAACGTCAAACAAAACAGTTTCATTACTTTCATACATTACCAAAATAAAGAGACATACACACACTGCATTTAACACTTGCTTCGTCGGACACACAAACATTGTCGTTAATATTACTTTAGTTTAAAAAAAATGTGAAAGATAAACGGATATTTAATCAAGCTCAGTTTTTTAAAATTTATTTAATGTACACGCGGACAGAAATGTACACACGGAGACAATAAAAAAAAAACCCATTCATGCGAAAAAATCTCTTACTAGGACATTAATACAGTTAGTATTTTTAGCAGTTTAAATTGAATGTTGACTGATCGCTTATATTTTTTCAAGCGATCCATGACTTTTAAAAACTAGCTGTAATTGTAATTCTCTAAAATAAAAATAAGCTATACATTTCAAATTTGGGATGTCTTTTTAATTAAATTTCTCAATATTAAAAAGATGGTTATTTTATGAAAGAGATAGTTTGCGTTAAACAACCGAATGAATTTTCTTGTCTTTTGAATTAGCAGTGCAACGCGAAATAAATAAAATACGCGTTATTTTTAAAACAATCTATAAAAAACGAATAATGTATTATTGTAAACACTTGCTGCTTCTCGTCTTGCAAAATACCACTTCACCGAAAATATTTTAAATTGCATACATTTTTTTCATTATCTACTTCGTTAATAATACACTCCCGACGTATTGTACACTGAAACATGCTTTATAATTTTGCGCAGATACGCGGACTTTGGCTAAAATTTTTTACGTGCGGACGAAGAAAAAAATGATTCAACCCTTCCTTACGTTTTTTTTTTTATTTTTATTTTTTTTTTTTAACCCAATTATGCGTGCACACATACAATTATTTAAACATACTCTTTGAGCACAAACTCATTAAACACACAGGCATGATTCTTTGCAATTAAAAAAAAAAAAATCGTAATCATAATCATTGTGGCTGCGTTGAGACGATATTTTTAAAGTAACATTTTAATAAATCATCTCTCGTGTTAAATGCTTTTATTTGAGACGTGTATAAAACTCATAGACAGCCTATATATGGAATATGCAGTCCAATAAAAAATCTCTTGAGACTGGTCGCATTTTTCAGTTGAATAAAGTAAATTTTCAAAAGTGTTTGTAGTACAAATCACTTCCAACAAGCATTTGCAGAAAAATGCAGTTTAAAAAATTAGTTGTAATAAATAAAAATAATAAAAAAAACGTCATAAAGTTTTAAAAGGCGCGTTTTTTTACTTTATGCTGCCCTTTTTTCTTTTAAAAGTGCGTACTAGGGTGGGTTTCGTTTAAGATTTAAGTGCACATTTCCTTGTGTGTAGTCCAGTTTTGTGTGTGTGTATATATATATATATATATATATATATATATGACATGAAAAACACACAACCTCATAATTTATGAAGTTGGCCCAAAATAGCTCGGAAACCGGGAAAAATGGGTTAAGCCGGTTAAACTTTACACTCATATCCAAGGTTTTTAGGTTAAATAAATTATTTATTTTATCCCCTATGTACTTACTACAACCTGTCGTCTTTTACTTGGAGAGGAGATGAGCGCCGTTATTGCGCTGACAAATAGTACGTGGTATCCCTAAGTTCGATTTGTTCTGAGACTTAAAAATTAATTTTCACTATTGATAGTGAAACATGCTTATTTTAGTTTTGTGCGTGTGTTTGTACGCGCAGGTATAATTTAATTTGGGTGTGTATTGTCTTTTTTTTTCTTCTTAGATACACAATTTACATTACAAGCATTTTTATGTGTGTGCAAAAATACTAATTTAATAATTACAAGAAAATACTTTGTTGGAAAAACGGAATAAAACGCGCAATTCCAATATGACACTTTTTTTTTGTTTGTAAAAAACTGGTAGTTTAGTGTGTTGTGTACTGTACGTATACTTTTCGCTTCTGTACTTGACTATTAGTGAATATTATTTTATTTACGGAGTAGTTATTATTTATATTTAATCTTCTGATGCGACATTAAAAAATCTTTTGTCCGAACAAACGCACGCACACACAACCATTTTAAAACACTAACAACCGATAGTGTTGTTTAGTTTATCGAAATTTGTTTACTTAGGATAAAAAAAACTATTCTTTGTTAGTTGTTAATATTGGTGCTTCCAACTTATTAATTTAATTGATTCGTGCAGTTATATTTATAAATAAATAAAACCTTTTCGCTAGATACATTTTAGTTTACTGTTAAAATAAAAATTTACACTCTAGTCTACACTACTCAACTGCCATATTCAACGAACTAAGCCACAATAAATAATAATTCAATACATCTTTCTTTAGTGTCTGCTGATTGGGGAATGTCTTTTTAAAACATTCTTACTTCAGAGTAATTTTACAAGTGAATTATTATTTTAACCATGATTTGACATGGTTGCTCTTTTGATCCCAGTGTACTTTCTGGCTGGAGTGTTAATTGTGGTATTTAAGCGTTTTGTGTAGTGAAATTATATTTTTTAACCTGCATCTAAAAAGAAAGGCCCACTTATAAAAAAACAAACATAACCGAAATACTTAGCTATCTCTCTATTTAGTGTTACTATAGTACTTGAATGGGCTAAGGAAGCATTATTTTAGTAGTGGTGATATTTTTAGTCTTTTAGTGTACACTGCTTCTCGTGGTGCGTATATAAATAGACCAGAAAGAAAGCATCACAGAAAAAAAATATCTAAAGATACAGTTACGTCAGACTTTCCAGGTCTTGTAACAGAATAAAAATAAACAACTCTTTGTCTTTCTGGAGTAACTAAAACTAAATTAAGTACTAGTGCTAATAGTAGTGGCCACTGCCTGGTCTGCTTCTTCTTTTGGTGATGCTGGTCTTGTGTATAGCCCATGGGCTCCCTTCCCTGCACCGTCCTGCCTGGCTGGCTGCCTTGGCCCGAGTGCTAGTGCGCAGGCGCCGTGCGCTCTGATTGGCTGCGCAGTGCCGTGTGTGCGCAGCTCGTCCGCCGTTTCCAGCTGTCCAAACATGGAGGTAAAGCAGCAGCAGCGGGCTGATGAGAAGAATGTCGGCCGCCACCACCACTGCCAGCAACAACCAGCTCTTACCTTACCTACCAGTACCATGCTAGTACCACCACTGCTACTAACCAAGGCACCACTACTACTAACCCAGGCAACACTGTACTACCACCTCTAAAACTACAACACAACAATAACAACACTACACCACCACTCGTTTTTAGGCCGACTACCGTAAGGCGACACCCCTCACTTGTATCCTTTGCTACTCACTCACGCTCACTCCTCCCACTTCCTTGCAATTGAGACCATTGACACTGACTCCACTCCTCCAGTGCTTTTCTCTCTCTCCCCTTCTCTACTTGCATTTTACACATACACGTAGACACGCGCTAGTCTTTTTTCTAATATTATTGTATGCGAATGTTATAATATATACACGTATAGATTTTATATATATCGATATATTCCGGGCCACCCTTTTCCTCCTTCTTCTTATTTGTCTAGCCACCCCTTTTCACTCTCGCAGTATCGGTTTTTTGTCTTTCTTCCTTCATTGACCCCTTCACTCAGGATTCTTCTTACTTCCATCATCCATCCCTCCGTTCAAAGAGTCCCACTTTCTTTCTTTCTCGTCGGTTCATTTCTACCTTCTCTTTTATTATAATTTCTTCATCCACTAACCCTCCTTTGTCTTCTGTAGTCGTTTCTTTCATTCTTTTATAATTTTCGTCAATCACCTCCTCCCTATTCTTCTCTTATAATCTTTGTCCCACCTTTCCTGGGCTCGTTCTATATTGCGTGTGTGTGTGTTTTGTTTCTCCATTTTTGACAACCCCCTCCACTCCAGATCTCTTTCTGTTCCTCACACTCACACTCGCACTCACACTACTACAGCCGAAAAACACTCTGAAGAATAAGGGAGAAAGATAGAATATATAAAAAAAGAATTGTCAAAAAAAAAAAAAAAAAAAAAAAAAATAGAGAGAGAGAAGCCCGCCCGGCAAGAACCAACCAATCAACCAATAACGTTTGCCTAACCCTAACACCCCCCATCTTGATAAAACTTTAGACTAAACCTAAAACCACCCCCTTTCTGGATAATAACAAATAATAATATAGTACTATAATATAAAAAAAAAAAAAAAAAAGAAGGAAAAAAAATTGACGTTGTAGCATCACCACCATCACTACTACTACTACTACCACCACCATCGTCACTAACATCATCACTATCAACAACAGCAAGTGCAGCCAGTGATATTATTATTATTATTCTTCGATCGTTTCTGTTTCGTTTGTTGCTTGTAGGAATGACGATGGAAAACATGGGCGAACTGGCGGATCAACAAATCAACGAGTCGTCGTCTGTGGCAGCCTCAGGAGGCGGAGGCGGAGGTGGGGGAGGAGGAGGAGGTAGTGGAGGAGGAGGTGGTTCGAACGGAGGGGGAGGAGGAGGTGGCGGGAATGGAGGGGAGGTGGCCATGTGGCATCATCAGCAGCAGCAGCGGCGGCGGCCTCCGCCTCCGCCTCCTCGGCCTCGGCCTCCGCCTCCTCCGACTACAACCCAACAGTGAGTCCCCACGATCTGTCGCCGACGAACCTGGCAGCAGCAGGCCGTTGTTCCTCGTCGTCGTCGGAGGCGATCCCGGTGGTCAGTGTGAGCACCATGATGGACAGTAGCGAGTTCCGCTCCCAGATGGGCGAGGCGGCCACCTACCAGACCCTAAACGGGCGCATGAGCCCCGGCTACAGCCCCAACAACAGTTACGCCACCCTCACACCGCTGCAGCCCCTGCCGCCCATCTCAACAGTGTCGGATAAGTTCACCACAGCACACCACCACCATCACGGCGTGCCGCCCGTCACCCCGACCTCCAACAACGTCAGCGGCAGTTTTACCCTCATGCAAAACAACGGTCTCGGACTGGACATGAACTACCGTTACGACAAACTGACCAGCATGGGCATGAGCCCCATGTCCAGCATGATGGCTGCAGCTGCGGCCACTAATGGCTACCAACAGGGTCTGTCGTCGCCTTACGGCTACGGACAAAATAACGGACTGCATTCGCCGAAACCCGAGCCCAAGATGGTGTCTCCTAACTATGAGTACCGAAGCAGCCTGGGAGTTGGTGGGCCTCCAGGGCCGAGTGCTTCTTCGAGACTGCCGTCTCCTAGTGCTATGATGGCCACATCCAGCGGTTCGTCCCTGAACGGACTTCAGACATCGGCCACCAGCGCCTCGTCCCCTCACAGCCATCACAGCATGAGCCCCCCACAACGGGAACGGCCGTCCAGCTCGTCTGAATCCCAACAATCGGCTGCCTCCAATAATAAAGAGGTGGAAGAAATTAACACGAAGGAGTTAGCACAGAAGATCAGCAGTGAGCTGAAAAGGTACAGTATCCCACAGGCGGTTTTCGCCCAGAGAGTGCTGTGCCGAAGCCAGGGTACCCTCAGTGATCTTTTGAGGAACCCTAAGCCATGGAGCAAACTTAAGTCCGGACGGGAAACTTTTCGACGGATGTGGAAATGGTTACAAGAACCAGAATTTCAGAGGATGTCGGCGCTAAGACTGGCAGGTAAGCAATCGAAACACTTCTTTATACTTTTTTCTCTCTTCTCTAATAATTAACATCAGTAACTGTGTAATAATAATGTTAATAATTAGTGCATTTTATTTTAATTTAGAAAGTGAAGCTTTAATTACATCAGAACACCCCAGTCAGAGATGTATTACTTGCATTAAAAATACTATTAATAGTAACGCTTCTGACCTCTGAACCTGTCTCAAAAGTACCTGACCTGTGTCCATATCTGTCGGTTTAAATCAATGAAGCTATTCCCCAAAATAAAAGTGAAAGTGGCCACTTTGAAAGTTTAATCAGCAGCAGGCACTTGGAGCTCTACCGAAATGGCCGATATCTTTTTTTTTTCTTTTTTTATTTCCTACACTTTTAGCAAGAATACTAACTTTTATGGATATAAGAAGACATTAATGTGATATTAGCAGAATTAAAGTCATTTTTTATCAATCATGAAGCAAAAATAAAGCTTCAAACATTCTTTGAAACGTGACTTTTGAGTCCTCTCTCTCTCTCTCTCTCACACACACACTAAAAAAATGATTAATCTGCTTCTTTTAAATTTAAAACAATTACAAGTATAATTAGTTTTTAGATTTAAACATCACTCTATATTTTAATTTAAGATGAAAGGGTCATTAAAAATATTATTTTTCTTCAAACTAAGTTGGCGATTCACACTATCCTATCATCGCTTTGTTAATGAAATGGAAATAATCAACGTCATTTTTAATAAACTTTTTTCATCGGTAAAATCAATTTTGATCTTAAACGAATCTGTGATGCATTTATTTATCTGCCCTAACTTGCTTAATTTTCCATCCAAACTCTTGCGACTTTAAAAATCATTTCTATAGACATGCCTGTTATAGTTTTATTTACTGTCGTGTCTGTCCCTGGGTCAGTCAGTGTTTGTAAACAAACCCCGTGCGCCGGCCCATCATGAAGACGACGACGACGATGACGAGAGCCACGATTTCAATCAATGACACCGTACGTCTTCTTCTTAACTTATTATTAACTACTTGTACTTCTGTTTCTGTTGTTGTTGTTGACATCTTGGCTGTCATAACAAACCACTCACTTTTCTCTTCTTTTTGTCCTCATCTCAAGTGATTAACTTTTCTCCTTTAGTGGAGCAGAGAATAATAGATTTCCACACAACATTTTACATCGCCGTCCGTCCGGCCCGTGAAGACGAAGATGACTTGTTATTTTGCTGCCGATGGGGGTGCCATCTTCCTCGTGTGGTCGTTAAATAAACACTAGTCTCTTTTCATCCGTCATCTTTCGATCTAGACTCGTAATAACAACACTGACATACGCCATCTCCTTCATCGACCAAGTAATTACAATTAATTTCCTACTCTGCTTTACCTGACTGACCTGTGACCTCATCACTGTCTATCGTCAACTCCAAACCAAAAGTCTTGCCAGTGGCACTTTTTACAGACTGTTAAATTCTTCATATTTTAACTTTTTGTTTATCATTGGACCGTTATGATGACATTTTTGGCAGTGAAATAAAAATTGAGCATGTTTCGTTTTCTAAACTAATTCAAAAGTAAAACTTTTCTACTTTGGATTTAGTAAAGACTAAAGACTAAAGAGAAAGGATACTATCTGTGGATATCATCACAAAAACCATTTTGTTAGTTTTCTTGTGTGAAAATTTGAGTGATTCACTTTTTTCTCAATATTTTAAAAAAATAATTCGGAAATTTCATTAGGGTTCATCAGAAACTGAACATTTTGGAATAATGATAGTCGTTTATTAAGTTATCATCCATCATAGATAGAGATATTTTTACCTGCTTCCTCGTCTTCATTTTATGGTTTTCATGAAAGAAAACGAAATTATATTGGTGTAACGTCTACTTGCTATGTCGTACTTGCTTTATTAGCAAGTACGAAATGTAGACGTTAAAAAAACTATGCGTAACTAAACTTTAAAATTTTAACTTTATTTACCCTATTTTCGATCATTTCTAAGATTTCCTCTGTTAAACAAAGTCTTCCAATTTACACAGTAATCAGTTAACAACACCTTTTAAGAGAAAGTAAATACTAAAAAGAAGACAAAATAAATAACCTTTTTAATTTTAAACAAATTACGCAGTCCTAACAAGTTCTCTTTTTAATGAGCATTTGTAGGAAAAGATTGAACTTTTAAGCCTGCTATTAATTAAGAATTCCATTTTTTTTTAAACGCAATTTTTTTCATTGGGGGAAAAGATTTTGGAAGTTGTTTTAAAACTTTGAAGTTGCGATAAAACTTTTTTAGCAACTTATTTAGAGAGCAATAAAAAGATATTTTAAATCGCAGTGTTACATCTGATAGAAAAAGTTTCATTAAACGACGTTGATCTTCCTTCTTTCATTAACTTTGCTACTTGGGCAATATTTTTATCGGATGGGACACATTTGATTTCAATTCATCATAGTTATTTTGAACTTTAGATGTACTTTCTTTCACGTGGTTTGTAATGAATAGTCTTTTAAAAAAAGACAACAAAATATCAACATTTTTTTATAGACTAGGAACCAAGAAGAACAATTTTTAGGGAGACAATATTTTTAAGGAGTTTTTTCATGGTCTGGTAGGCCAGGGAAAAATTACTTTTTTTTTTTTTTTTCATATATTATTAGCAACAGCTGCCTGCGCGGTACCGTCGAATGAACAACAACAACAACTTAGAGAATCATTCATTCATCTGTCTACCTTCGATTAGTTGATTGATTTTGCAAGTCTTAAATAAATCGATGGGAATGGGAGGTCCTATATAGTAATAACATGAGCCACATTTGGGAGGGGCCTCTTGTCTGCTTCATAACCAAACACAAGCAGGTTAGCAGGCAGGCACGTGCTTGTTTACATACCCGCCCTCTCCACCACTCACTCTACCCTACCCTACTCTACTATCTATCTATCTATCTATCTATCTATCTATCTATCTATCTCACACTGTGCTGTCGTGGTGGGGGTTTGAATGACAAAAAAGTAGTTGTCAGAACTAAGTTTGTTTTTACTTATAGAAAACTTGGCTAATTTGCATTAACTTATGTATTCCTTTAAAAATCAACATTTTTTATGTTCACTAATAAACTAACAGCGAGTTAAGAGATGTATGCATATGTATGAACGTATATATGAATAATTTTTAGATTGTAGCTTCATTTTGTCTCATGGGAAACAAATTCTCTTTATCTTTATTGTGGGTACGATTTGTGACTTGTCATAAATCACATAAGAATAACGTAAATAAATTTTATTCTTGTTGTGAACTTCTCAATTCTAAAGTAGACATTTTTTTTCAACATTTTTAAAATTTATTAAATTTTACTTAGATTTTTTAATCAAGGTCTCTTTTTTTAGGTAAACATTTTAATTCGTTTTTAATTTACTGATTTAGTTTTTTTTGTGGAATACATTACAACACAACAAGAAATGTCCCACAATTAAGAAATGTTCATTATTTCAATCCAATGTTTTATTTTAAAGAAAATATTTGTTGGACTCGATGAATTTTCTATGAACAGATAAAAAAATCTTTGATTTTATATTTTTAAAGTTCAATGATTTCATATCCAAACAATGGCTCTTAAAATGTTTTAGGAGATTAAACTTCATTAAATCCTATTTCTTTTTTATTTTTGTTTTTAAAACTAAAAGTAATTTTTTTTTTAAATTTACGTTATTTGTCGTGTGTATTTGACAACGGTAGTAGCGTGCTGGCCGTCTTTTAAGACATCCCAACCTGGAATCGCAACCCTCATTTCTTCTAGCAGGGCTTTTAGAATTTCAACTACTTTTACACACAGTACAACTTAGAAAATAAACATAGGAAATCATAACTACGAACTCCTTGAAAGTGGCTAATAATTGGCCCAATGCGCTTGAGACAATAATTATTTATATTACGAGCACGAGCAGTTTCTACACCCGGTTAGCCTGCTCCCTTCCCCCAAAGGAATAAAGAACAACAGAGTTTCATACTTACAACGTTTTGTTGACCGTTCTACCTTCCAACCTTCTTCAGGTGTCTGTCGTCCTACACAACGGCGGAAACGTTGTGAGTATGACAATCAAGATAAGCTATGCGAAATGGTAATGAATAATGATAGTTCCTCATTAAGAAAATTACGACATAAATTACCTCAATTAGTACGACTTGTTTATTTTGAGGCTTTTAAATTTTACTTTAAAAACAGTAACACACAAACACACGTAAGTTCTGTTCGTTCTTTATAAAAAAAAATACTTTTAAAAGTAAAAGTAAAAATTTAAGTAAACCCCATAAAAATGTTATCAGCACTCAAAAATGATCTCATGCCCGACGGTCCCTGCTCGTTGCTTTTGTTGGCGCACTTGCTGTGTGTACGTGTGTGCGTGAGGCACTGTTACGTTCGTTCATTCATTCATTCACTCATTCATTCATTCATTCGTTCGTTGCCTTTTCTTATCCTTTTTCTAATAATTGCCAATCAATAGGGGATTGTTTTCGTGATTGACTCCATTCATCTCTCTTCTTGTTCCATTTTTGTCTCACTTATGTCTTCCTTCCGTTTTGCATTTTACTCTTCACCCCCCCCCCCACCTATTTTTTTTTTCTCTCGGGACTTCGGGGGACAGGAGTTGCTATCTTTTGAACATTATTCCTTCCCATCTGTCGTCCTCAGGAGGAGAGAAACCCTCAGAAGGACACAAGTTCTTTTATTATTACCTCGGCCTTAATAAGCTTCCCCAGGTTGACTTTGATCAATTATAGCAAGTTAGCTTTTTTTTTTTTTCTTTTTTTTTTTTTTTCCAATTAGTTTCTTGGGGCATAAATTGATGCAACAATTTGTTTTTATATTAGTTTTTATTTCTCAACAATTCTATAAAAATGCCATTAATCCTTGTAAAGCCATAAAGTTGAATAACTATCCCTTCGATGTGACATTTTTTTGTTGATAGTTACAGGAACTATAGTAATGTTAAAAACCAACCAAGAATTTACAAAAATGAAACCGTACTATGTATTTCCCTTATCATAAGAGAAGTATTTTTTTTATGACCATGATGTTCTTTACTTAAAAGAACATGATGATTATAACTTTAGAATACTTAGAACAAGTTACTTTTATTGAAATCTCCCATTCATCTGGATAAAGGGTCCACTTTCTGATTTAATTGCTAAATCAATAACACAAAACACAAGTTGTTGTTGATATCTAAATATTCCTGGTTATTGCAGGTTTTACAAACTTGCAAATGCATTGAACAGCTGTCATGGACTTATCAACAACATAAATTGATGCTCCAAGACTTAATTTTGAATAATTAAGCTTTAACAGAGTACTAAATAAAGAGTTCACAAATAAAGTTTTAAAAATGTAAAAGGCTGTTAATTAAAAATAAATGTAGTGCTATAGACCTCCCAAACTGATCCCCGTCTCACCAACTGATAAAAAGTTGGTAACCCTTTTTCTTTTTAGCTTAGTGGTTTCTTCTTTTTATTCTTTTCTGCTGTTAACCTTTTATCCATTTCTTTCTTCTAAAATCCACTTCCCATAGAGACACATGTTCATTTAACTTTGCTGAAAACTTTACCTTATAAGATTTTCTTTTTATGATAAGATTAAAAAAGAAAATGAAAATACCTCAACTTAATCTTTAATCTGCAACTTCTTTTTTTATTTTTATTTCACTTGTCTAATTTTTATTCTTACACACATTGTATTATTCCAGAGATTAAATCCTGTGCACCTGCCATCTATTAACTCTTTTTCTGCTAAATTTACTTTGTGCTCTCTCTCTCTCTCACACACACACACACACACACACACACACACACACACTGAGATGTATGAGTTTAATGAATATTTTATACTTTTATTTTTCTAAGATAAAGATGAGTAAGCAACTTAAGATTGTCATTTTTCCCTTTTTCATAGACAGAAGAATAAAAAATTATCAATTAAACTTTAAAGTAAAAAAAAAAAAAACATCAATCAGTATTAAATTGGACCTTTATAAAATGGCCTTAATTTCTTTACTTACTAGTTAATTTACTTTAACTAAAAAAAATCACAATAAAAAAATTGAATTTTATAATTTTTTTTTATTAGCTTGAATTGAATTTATTGAGTATCAAGTAAAATTGAATTTTTTGTAAATTAGAATTCAACTTTTGGTGAAACATTTTCCTATATAAAAGCCAAATTGATGAGATTAATAATGTAGGTATAAAAAGAAAAATAGTTTCATGTGAAAGTGAATGATTATTTATTGAATTTCATGTAAGTTTGTTTTAATCCACATAAAAACCACTCCTTTGTTGATATAACCAGAAATAATCTTTGTTATTATCTATTACTCTTGGAGACTTTTATTAGTGATTGAAATTTTAGATATATTTAACATTTACAATTGACTACAAATTGTATAAATCTGGTTTTCTTTAACTTATTTATTTTTATACTAATTTTTAATTTTTTCCAAATCTGAGTCTTATAATTAACGGAAAAAATAACCAATTGAAGGTAAAACAAATATGGGATAATTAAAAAAGCATTTCAGTCATGTGTTAATACAACTTACTGAATTAAAGAACAATTATGATATTGCTGATTGTTAAAGTATTTATATAGCACTACCTGTTAATCCTGCAAGTAAACACTAAATCTCTATTAAACTAGTTATATTTGTAAATCCTGTAATATTATTAAACTTAAAATACATCTCTCTTCATGTGTTTTTTAGGTAACCTATTAGTATTTCTTTCTATGTTTTTTCTTTTCTAACCTTTTATATCCTGACCTAAGTTTTTATTGCTGCTTATAGATTTAAACTTAAGCCAAACAAGATGATGAAAATGAGAATAATTTCATCTTTTATCAGAGTTTCTCTTTAGTTTGGTTTTAATTATTGTTACTTTATTAAATGTTAGTTTATAAAAAAGAAATTAAAGAAAAAAAAAAGAAGACATTTTAAAAACTTCTTGTAGGTCTTTCATTTTACTGTTTCTTGCAAACATTCATAATCTCTGCTACTTATTTTAAACGATTAATTCCTTGTATAATTTTCTTCAAACATTTAATCATCTATCAGGAGAGAAATTCTTGTATCATTTTCTCCTAGGATGTTATTTTCCTTTTATCTGTGTTATTTTACTCTTCTTTAAGAATTCATTATTTATATTAATATATTGCATTGTACATATTGATGTGTGTGTGTGGTTTGGGGGACACATACTGATTGTAATTTAAGTAGTTGTCGAAATTATTAATTGAATTTCAGAGTTTTCTTGCTGTTAAAATGCTTCTAGTAACAAGTTTAATCAACTGGTTTCTTTGGATTGACCATCACAGTCCAGAGTTCTTACCATAGAGCCAAACCTATTTATGTATGTATGAATTTATGTAAGTTGTGGCTGTCTACTTTAGGCAAGTTTTGTATGTGTGTGTGTGTGTATTAATGTAGTCAATGGTTTATATTTGACTTAGTTGGCACTGATTATTACTTTGTGCTTTATCTTTGAAATAACACGTGTCACTTCATCCTGTAAGGAAGAACATTATAACATTACTGTCACTGGGCAGGACTTCTGCTCATTCTATCCACTTACTAGTGTTATTCTCCCTTTTATCTCCTTTAATCTTTCTTGTAAGATCATTATCATCATCATTAGATGAAGAAAAAAAGTTTCCTTTCTAAGTGATGAATAGATTTATGTTGGGTGATAAAAATCCTTGTCAATGCTGTCAGTGTTTACTTCAGAAATCTGAACATTGGTCATCATTACTCATAGTCATTGTTAAATTCTTTGGCAACTTTTACATATTTTGTGATGAATAGACAATTTTACACTATAAACAAAAATCTCCTAATGTCTTTCCATCAATGTTATAATTTCCTGTTAATTAATCTTTTGTATTAACTGGTTTAAACCATTTGAAATTGTAATTTTCCTGAAAGCTTACTTTCTGTTTCCTGTATTTTCAAGACTCAATTCTTTTTAACACATTTTCTAAATACCTTCTTTGAAGAAAAAGGTATTTATCTTTATTCAAAATACTTTGAGGTTTTCTACTTTTCTTAAAATGAAATAATTTCAAGTTTATTTTAATAATTTCAATTCAAAACCTAATATTTAAAAAAAATCTTAGATCACTCATAATGCTTTCACGATACATGTTTTTATGAGTTTGTAAATACATTTTATTATCTATAATATTAAAAGTAACTCTGAATATGATCTAACACTAAAGTCTATTTTCATTAACTATTATATAATAGTGTTATTGTTTAACTTATGTGACTTGCTCAAATTTGTGTCTAATATTTCTTAACAACATAGATTTTATGCTTAATTGGAACATTTATAACCAAAGGTAACTTTTATAGTTTGCTATTTCAGACTTGTTAAATTATTATTTTGAGTTATTAACTCTTTACAAAGTTTAAGTGTGCAAGTGATAGTTTTTTTTCTGTCTTATTTATCTCTTGTACAAGTATAAGCTTAATAGGTTTCCTCTTAGCAAGAATTCAATGCTTTCAACTAATTGAGCTTCTCATTATTTTATTTATTTCTTCCTTGATTTTATTTATGAAACTATTTCTTACTTTGTGTCTCATTCATAATTTTATTCAGCATATGAATCTTTGGAGCAGAAATGCTGACACTTTTTCAATATACAAATATGCAAAAAATATTGTTTCTTTGCTACAAAATTAAGAAATTTGAAATTCTTTGAGGTTTCTAATTCTCATCTGGATAGATTTCATTTTCCTTTTCTTTTTAGTTAAAATTAGTAAAGTTTACTGGATTGGCATTCAACTAACTAATAATATTTATAGAGTAATCATAAATTTGGGCAAATTTCAACTTATCACTTTTATAATTAAAAGATTATTGCAAATAAACACAGGTGAATGATAGTCATACAAATTATCTATCTATCTATCTATCTATCTATCTATCTATCTATCTATCTATCTATCTATCTATATATATATACACTATCCATACACAAAGGTATGCAGAGAAGTTTTCATCTACTTTTCAAAATCTGGCCAATTGATTAATCCAAGCACTTTTCAACATCTCTAAAGTTTCCAATATGATCAAGAAGGGATTAATACAAAATAATTATAATATTTGGTCAGATATTGGGAGTCAGGCTAAGAGCTTTACCCCACCTCCTTATATATATATATATATATATATATATATTGTCATGATTGTATCCATAAATAAAAAAAGACTATTTTTCTCAACCAATATTTTCATTTAACAAATTCTATTATGATTAATTGAAATTTTGTCATCTATAAATTTACAAGTTACCATTTACATACACTAAATTATAAAAGTAGTTTGAATATTGATGATTAGTATGAATTAATAAATGACTACTCTAACACACACTTTTCTCTTTATATTTATTTAAAGCAATTATTTTATATATAAATATTGTGTAATAAACTTGCCAGTCTAATGCTACAAATTTATTTTGCTTGTAATGGTAGGCAAGCTCAGTTTATGAATCAGTATTAAAATTACCAATTTAAAAAGATCTTTTAAATAATTAATTTTTCCTTAAAAGTTGAGAAACTAAATTTATTTATTATTTTTCTTAAATATTGGTATTAAAGGGACATGGTTAGTTAAAGTACAATATATGAAGCATCATTGGTAGAAGGCTCAAAGCCAGTCAATTTGTCTATCTCGGGAGAGATAAAGTTCTTTTTCCGTTTAAACCTGTCACCCATCTTCAACACAACAAATGTATCTACTGTTTTTAATTTCAAATAATTTCTCTTGGAGCAGTTTTCATCATGCATTTGTTATTTCTTGTTAATGGCGACACCATTTCTGCCTTTGCTGCTGTCTCCTGTGTCTCGTCTTTGGGATGTTCAGATTTCGCATCCACATCTATTGCATCTTCTGTGCCCTTTCTTATTCAAAGAACTTAGTCTCATTGGTTCCTCTTCTTCTCTAGCCATTTTCTATATCTCCCCTACTAATATCATTACCTCCAGTGAAGGTCTTTTTTTTTTGTCTTTTTTTTTTTTCTTAACCTTTTCTTTTACATTTGAACATCATCCCATTTTTCCATCTACGTTTCTTGTCTGGGCGTTTTTTTTTTTTGTTTTTTTTTCAGTTCAATCAGTTCTTGCTACTCTGCCCCCCCTTCAAAAAAATGCTTATCTTCTCTGTTGGTTCTCAACGTTCTTATTTTTTAGCCCTTTTTTCAACAGTTATACTATTTTGTTTTTCTTTTCACTCATTGTACCGCAAATGTTTTGTTGTGCTATGTTTTGTCTACTAAGTTGCTTCTTGCTCATCTAATTGTACGTATTATTTTCCTTTCAATTTCCTTTGATACAAAAAAACTACAAATGCCCTAAATAAAGCTTATTACAACTCTTTTCACTTACCTGCCATCATCAGTACCCTTTTCTGTTGTCGTTATAAACAAATTTCTATTTTTTTCTTACCTTGTCTCATAATAATACTTATCTACAAACAGTCATCACATGCTCATTACGTTCCGATTTATTTATTTTACAATCATTATGTTCCTTTTTTTTTTCTTCTCCGTTTTTTTTTTTTTTTTGTCTCTTCCGATGTTTTGTTGACGGCATACTTATGTCACATGTTTGAATTAAATAAATTCTCGGCTGATAGAATTAAAAAAGAAAAGAAAGGGGAAAACATTTATTTTTAAACTGTTCTTAAATTATGTAGACAAGTCAAGCATTTGGTCCTTGCATCAATTTCTTGCTTAGCTCTTGTTATATGACTTCAATTTGTCAGAATGTTTTTTTCCCCCCGATTGTCTTCGTGCAATTATTATTGTGTATGACTACTTGTTGATTTGTAACTTTTCTTGGCGTTAGTAAACATGGGGCAGTTATTTTTTTTTAAATGACTGAACTTTATTTGGAACATCGATTTTTTTGTAAATATCATTTTTATTTTTTCATGAACTGATTCATTTCGTGTGTTATACAATTTTTGACAAGACGTAGAAGTTTCATGTTTTTGAAAAAGTGCATTGAAGACAAAACTATAGAAATATTTTTTGTTCGGAGACCTTAATTTAAAGATTTTTAAATATTAAAAAAAAAAAGGACTTAAAAAAATTACCGTTTTTTTATCTTTTGTTTGTTTTTGATTTTTTTAATGGCAAGTTCTGTTGTCTAGAAGTGGAGTCTAGCTAATCAGCTAGAGAATAGTTTCAAATTCTGCGGTGTACAATTAAGCAATTATTCTTTTCATTTCGCGGTAGTAAGAAGCGATGCGAAATGTTACGTATTTAAAAAAAAAAAATAACATTTAGAAACTTTGGAGATCGTATTGAATTTCAGTCATGGAGATAAATAAATCTCAAATTCCCTGGTGTATTTTTTTGGTGTTTAAGTTGTAAATATATATTTCCTTTTAGTGTTTCTGATATTTAATTTACCTATTTTACTTATGTTAACGTTTCTTTGAATTATGCGTTGTCTATGTATGTGTACGGTAGTATATACAATAATACTACACACATCACAATTCGTTAAGAATGAATTTAAACAAAATAAATAAATAAATAAATAAAATGATAATTTCCTATTTGACATCATCAGTTAAAAATTTATATTTGGCATTGAGTACTTATGATACATTGATATTAAATACATGCCATTTAAAAATGTCACAATTCAGGAAATTATTGACATTTAAAATTCTAAGATAATCTTACTCTAAATTATGGTTAAAATTTCCATGTCAGGTATTTGAATGTCCCAGAGCAATTACTTTGAAGTTAAACAGAAATTACTGTCTTTTAGTTTTAATTCAAGAAAAAAATAATTCTCAACATTTTAGTGGCCTTTTCAAGTACACACTGTCAGATTTTATTATGCAAGTCGATGTTTCCATAATGAAAGTGGTAATTAACTGTCTGATGTTGATAACAATTTTCAGGATAAGAAATATAGCCTGTGAGTTTTAACTTACCTGTCTTGATTAAAAATATTAATAATAAACTTTTAGAGGTGTCAGATTTTATTAAGCAAATAAACTGAATGCAGCATAAATTTGTATTTATAAATAAATCCAAAATATTCACATTACAGCAACATATTTGATTTATATTCCATATACATGAATAAATTATTATCTTACATGTTAGTTAATATGAATATTCTATAAAATTCATCAGTATTTAATTTCACTGATTTTGCTAATTTCCTTTAACTTTTCTTTGCAATAGTTCTTATGGCATTTAAGAGATCCTCTTTGCTTGAATATTGTTTTCCATTCTCATAAACATCACTTTTAATAATGGACCAAAAGTTTTTCTATCATATTTATATCTGGAGAGGCTGGGGTGCCATTCCATTAATTTAGTCTTTGAAAACTTTTTTGGAAAAGTGGGCTTTACAGAATATGAAGGAGCAATGTTTTGCAGGAGTCTTGGTGGTGACCTGTCCAAATCAAAAATAAATGTCTTATCCAAGAACTTACAATAATTCTTCATGTATCTTGACCATCATCAACTTTGAAAGGAACTGATAATTTTACTGCTTAAAATAATGAGCCCAATGCATTACTCTAACTTTCCTGTTGTTTTCTAAACCATGTTGGTTGAGTATTTCTTTGAAGGACCTAATCTTTATCCCCGCCATCAAGTTCATCTAATGTATATCTGCATTTGCCACTAAAAATTACTGTTGAGAAATCACTTTTCATGCATTCCTTTTCTCTTTGTGATGTTTTCTTAAAGGGTAATTTGGTTGTTTTCATGTGTTTAATCAATGTTCTAAATATTCTGCATCTTTTCTCTTTGTTTACATCTTCTTCGTGGTGGCCAGTTGACTCTTTTCATTTTTCTCAAATGTCTTTTTGTGACATACATATTTTACCAATGTTTTCAGTTTCTTTTTTATTGTTCAATGATCTTTGTTCAACACTTTCATAATTTACAAAGTTGTCTTTACACTGTTTTCTTTCTCTTTTGAATTTTTTGTTATGATCCATGGAAATCTTTATATATATCTGAAATTTAAAAAAAAAATTAATATTAATGGCTATTATAGCCTAAAAATTGAGTTTAAGCATGAAACATACTATCCTACTTAGTGTTGATACCAATGTCTAAACTGCCTATGCTTTGTGACTGATATAAAAGGACTTTTCTTTTATAAATATAGAATACTTTGATGGTTATATTTTATGAGAGCTATACCATTATTCATATTTATTTGCAAAATAATGAACAATCTTTAAGTTGCATAAGAAAATATCTCATCACCAAATTATTGTAAATAATTCTAAGAGAAGTAGATATAAGCTGAAATAGACATGGCATATTTATCATATATCCTGAAAATTTGACCAAAATCATTTGGTTATTATTTTTATTGTGAAAACATTGACTTACATGATAAAATCTGACAGTGTAAGAATTCAATTTTACAAAATTAAAAAAAAATATATATTTTGTCATTTCTTTTGAAAAAGGACAAAAAGAGAATAAATATGTAAAAAATAAATTAGAAAGCCAAAAATGCTTTCTTTTGTCATGTACAGTGAATTGACATGTTTAGTTTTATAAACTGATGTTGTCATTTTTAGGTAGACAGATTTTTTTGATTACTCTGAAATAATTCACACTTCAACTTTAGATAATGTTTGTCTCATGCCAAACTTTTACATTACAATTAGGATACATTTCTTTTTTTTTTTTTCTTTTTTCCTCTTCTGTTTTTGCATTAAATATTTCTTTTCCTTAAAACATGATTCCATCCCCTCTTTCTGTGGGACTCATGCACTAAAACACTTGGCAATTTTCCATCCTCCCAGGGATTTTCCAACTCTAAAATGTTTATTTGGCACCTCAGAAGAAACCTTGCAAGTGATATGGAGAGCATGGTTCAGTAGTGGCATTGTGAATTAGCCTGCAAATATTCTTCTTTCTTACACGTCTCATTCATGTGCTCTTTGTTTCTTTTTAGATGTTTTAATCTCCAAGCCATTCTCTTTGCTTTTCTTGTGCTTCTTTTAGTCTTTCAATGCACAAATCAGGCTTTTATATATAAAAGGTAAAATTACATTTGGAACTTGATCAATTCTCTTTGGTTTTCAACTTTTCTTTCTTTGTCTCTTGTTTTTATTCCATTTACCATTCTGATGTGTTTCTCATTAGCTTTACTTGGTTTTGATGCAAGATAAAAGAAGGCATCTTTTAGAAAACTGGCCATAGATGCAACACTTGTTTCATGTTGCTTTTGGATTGTTTAAACTTTGTTGTGGCTGTTTTTAAAAAATCTCTATGGATTTCTTTAAATATTTATTAGCATTAATGATTTTCTTTTAAATACTCAAAATATTAATTAAGGTTGTTGATCATTGTGTCTATTAAAGAATAAATTTGGTAGATCTTTGTGTATGTGTGTACTTAGTGTTGAATAAGTTTCTTGTCTGACTAATGTGTATTGATAAAGGTTTGATTGAAAAATAAATTTTTATAAAATGTTTTGATTATTAAGCTGCTGAATTATTGATTTATCTATATTTATCCATAAATAATACCTTGAGATACAAACACAAATATGTTCATAATTGTATGTCTAGGGAGATCAATGGTTAAATATTAAACAATACAGATAAAATAATTCATAATAGTGCTATTTGTATTTCTTTTAATTAGTTAATAGTTTAAATATTAAGTCTAAATTTGTTTCTTATTATTACCAATGACCATGTTTTTGTTAATACTGCCAGAAATTCCAGTTTTAGTTTTCACATATTTCAAATAAAATAAAGAGTATTTTAAAGTATTGTAAACTCTCAATGCTCAGAAAATATTTTGAGCTGCCTTTACTAAACTTAAGTTAGTCTCACACAAAGTCAGGAAATACAGGAAGGAAGATTGTATTGTGTAGGTCTTTCAAGTGGAGTTTACTTAGAAAATTTACATTCAAAATCTCTAGTTTTCACCTTGGCTTCAACACGAACTTCTGGTGTCATTGGGTAATCAATCATGAAGCAAGCCAAAATTTTATTGTTGTCCTATGTTTAGCTGTTAATGATTTGGTAACTTTTACAGTACATATTTTTTACTTTATAAAATTGAAGATAAAGCACTAAATTCTTTACAGGTTTTTAAATTTCATTTTTGAAACTTTTCTTCCATCATCCCTAACATTCTTAAACCACAAAAAAAATACTCTTGTCAACTGAGGCCATGTGTTTATTTTTAGCATTTAATTTAAAGTTTAAGCAAATCCTTTTCTATCTCAATAATTGTTTTTTAATCTGACCTTATTTGCAATCAACGAAGTCACCTTCCTTCCACATATCATGATGTAGCTTTGTCAAATTTTTGGGAGGTTCTCACCTATTGATTTTAAGCTTTTTCACCTGAATAGCTTGTAAGGATTAAAAAAAAAAAGTCTTCTTTAATAGTCTATGATTATATAGTCTTTGCCTGTATTTTGCATTAATATTGTCATTAATTTGGGTTACTTTTTATTGGTTTTGAAGAACATTGTCACTGACAGGTTTCAGCCTTTGACACCCATCACTCCACCCAATGTACATGTTCTTCAGCTGTATTTGCTTGTCAATGCAATATATGTGCATGTATGTGCACACGTTTTATGAATTATTCTGTTAATTGAAATATCTAAGTAATCACTTATGAGAATGAACACACAGCTAAGAAGACAATGGGCCACCTTACCAAAACCCATCTTCTAAATGTATCAACTTGCTTGTATTTAATCAGAAATTAGAAATAAATAAATATATTTTCTACTCTGACTCTTTCTACTTTAAGACACGTACATAAAAAATAACTGCTTAAAAACTAAGAATCTTTTTTTTTCCTTCAAATGGTACTGTCTGTTTCTCTTCCTTTACGAGCTACCAAACCAAGACATAGGCTCATTTTACTCTTAACAATAATTTCATTCATGTAAACCACGCCGTTCTTTTCCGATGGCCGATATACAATCGTGATTGATTGCTTTGGCGATAAAGTGTGTTTGAAGTGCGCCAACATAAAAAAGAGACATTTCAACAAAGCTACAAAATAACTACAGTTTTCGTTTATTGACATTGTGTGTGTGTGTGTGTGTGTGTGTGTGAACACCTGAAAAGCGCTGCATTTCTTGATGAAGTCGATTGAAGGAATTCGATGATACTAAAAGTAAATTAATATTTAAAAGTTTACTTGTCCAACAAAATAGTGTTTAAAATTTAAATTGAAGTTTCTTTTTTTAGAAATATCTTTCATAAAAAAAAAAAAAAATCGTATCAGAAACTTTGAAATTTATTTTCAGTAATTTTTTTGAAAATTTCTGCACAGTGGAAATTAGAAATTTTCCAAGTAAATTACCCGTTTTATCAGCGAGTCTTTTATTCTTTTTTGACCCGAAAAGAACGATTACCAGTTTCCCTCTTTAAATTTTTTTCCGTATTTTAAATACTAGTTCTGTTTTGTAAATTAAAAAAATAACTTTGTATTTAATTTAAACACTTCTCAGTTTATTAAAATAAAATATGTTTTAAATTAAATTGCAGGAAAATCGAACTAAAAATTTTGTTAATTAAAATTTTCAAATTGAAAGTAAAAGAAACATATTGACTTTTTAAATGTAGAAATTATTTTAAAGTTTCATTTTTTATTTTCATCTTTCCACGACAAGCGATATTTAACAAAAGTAAAACTGATTGTTTTTTTTAAAACACTGATTGGACATATATATCGCCTCTTTTAATCGACGTTAAGATTTGAAGTTTTCAAAGAGCAAGATCAAAATAGGCTTCTTTCCCTGGCGGTGATGTCCATCATTGACAAACCGAAAGAAATCAAACATCCATTGGCCCGAACTCAAAAGCCTTCAACTGACAACGTTGTTCTATTATTTACTATTCACATGGAAAGGTTAAAGAAAGAGGGATATACATAATCACTTATGATCTATCGGACATCACTGATTTTATTTTATTCTTGTATGGATGCCATTAAAAACCTAACCACAGTACAAATTTACGGTCTGAATTAAAAATTATATAAGCAATTTAACAAGTTTTAAATTTATCTCGTTCGTTTTTCTTTCTTTCTTTTTTTTTTTTTTAAACAAACTAGTTACTATTATTATGTTTTTTAGTTTACTTGCAATTTTTGTCGGGTTAAAAAAAATGTTTTTTTTTGTTGTCTTTAAAATTAATTTTAAATAAAATGAATATTTAATTTTATTTTAAACAATTTTGACTTGAATATTGGTGTTACTGTTAGTGTTTAAGTAGTGGATTTACATTTTTTTAAAAAAAATTCCCCGTTTTATGCGGCTTTGAGAGTTCGTGTTGCAACGATAAGAATATTTTAATTTAATTTATTTTAAAATTAAAAAAAAACTTACGGAGTGAAACTTGTATTTAATTTTTTTTTCTAATATTGAAGAAATTTATTAAATATCGATTCATTTCATTTTCAACTTAATCGCATCTCAATTAACTGCCATTTACCTGCCTCCGTGACAACTAACTGTCCAAAATTGAAATATGATTAAAAAAAAAAATATTTTGTTTTGCGGTGTATATCCGCGTGTACTGTGACGCTCACGTAAGATACACACATGTTCCGATCCAAAGTTTGTTACATGCAATAACACGTACATGCGCACACGCATTTTATTCGTGTACGGTAGATTTTAATAAGTTTTGTAATGCACAAATCCTTGTAATGTGGTCATTGTTATGTTACGTGTCTTCTTTGTCCACGATGTTGCGTCCGGCTTGCATTGGGTTTGGCATCCCACTACGCTTCCTTATTAAACGCTTTTAGTTTTTCTTTACTTCTGTCACCTTTCTACTCTTTTCTCTCGTCTTCTTGATCTTTTTACTCTTTTAGTTTTATCTATCTCTTTCTCTCTAACTCCATCTATCTACCCCCAGCCTGGTTTTGCCCACCCTTCTTCAGACAGACGCTTTAGATCTTTCTCTGTGACCCATTCACTTAAGGTTTGTGCTTGCTTCTTAATCTCAAGAACACTTCTAAGGTGTGAACAAGATTCTGCGCGACGGACAAGCGGGATTTCTTTCTCTCTTTTTCTTTACCTGTCTCTCTCACTTCCTTCCTCTCTTGTTGATATCGCCGTAAGGTCGAACCGAGCACGTTATTCTGAAGGATCAACTGATTACAAAGGCCTTCCTGTCGTCTTCCCTGTCATTCATTGTATGCGTCCCCCCTACCCTAACTCTCTAGTAGACAAACTAACCACTAGCTATAACTCTTACCTGGAATTCTCTTCGCTATCTACTTATTTTGTAAACCTATGTTCCCTACTAAAATTTCTTCATTCTTACTGCAAGGAGTTCAGAAATTATGAATCGAAACGCTTAAAAACTTTAAAATAAACATGAAAAATAAAATTCAGTTTTAAAACAACAGAAAAGAAAAATATTCCTAAGTTAAATTTTTCACTTTTGTTTTTACTTTTTAAATTATAATAACTGACATGTAATAACTTATTGTTAAAAAAGGTAGCAAGTTGTAAAAATGCCTAGTAGTAGACCTTTAAAAAATTACTTAATTTGAAAGAAATAAAATAAAATATTTTGTTTTCACATAACTTCACATTTTCTCAGTTTTTTTATGTAAAAAATTCTAATAAGTGTATTGAATTTCTTCATCACCTAGATTTAACCTCATGGTTATATTACATTTTTCCTAGAAGATTTTAAATCTGAATTAGTTGGTTGAAAGCTTGAATAGCTCCATATAATGCAAATCTTGATTTACCTCATTATTTTAGAACTTAAGAATGTACCAATATGACATTTAGTTTCTGTGGACATATCTTTCCTATTCTAATAATGCTTATTTCCTTGTATGCACATACATGAGAGAAAGAGAGAGAACAAAAAGTTAAGTTTTCAAAAAAACTAATGTCTTCATTATTTTGAAAGTTGTGTGATTACTGTTTTGAACCAAGAAAATTACAAGAATTTAATCTTAATATTATTTGAGAATTTTACAGTTTATTTAAGTCATTTCTTTTGACATTTCCATGAGAATTTTTTTTGAAAAATTCAACCTTGGGTTTAAATTAACTCTCACTTTGTGACCTTGCTGCATATATTTTAACTTTATTCTTTCAAAAGATAAACATTTTTTCTTTTCTTTTTTTTTTTTTTTTAAAGAATAAAAATATATGTGTTATGTATATTCAGTTATGAATTCATAATTGTTTTAATATCCTCAATTTATAAATGGATCTGACATTTTAGGCATCAACTGCATAGATTTATTTTTAATTTGATTTAATGTTTCTATTTAATTATTTTTGTTTATTTAGTTTATATGTTTAATTGGGGAGGGAAATGAAAATCAACACCTGAGAATCAGTCTAACGTTTTAGCAATATGACAATATTAACAGACTTTTGAAAATAAAGAAATAAAATAAAGGTTTCAGTCTCAATAACTATGGCACAGGTAAAATGGTAAATAAGAGTTAATTTTAAATGTTTCCCCCCTAGTTAATAAGTAAGTAATAACAAAAAAAAAAAAATAGTTCTATTCTCATCACCTTCAAACTCATATTTCATTTGATTTAGTTTGGCAGGCCTTGTTAGTAATTAAAAAAAAAAAGAAAAGGAAGATTAATCCAGCTTGAAATCTGATCATTTATTCAACATTTTAATTTATCTAATAGCAAAATCCTATCAAGTTTCTTGCATAGTTAACTCACTGAGAGTAATCACACCATTTTGATGGTTTCAATTTATAATTTTGTGCCAGTTTTAGTTCCCTCATATTTATTTCATCTATTAGAAACTTGTTTCATCACTTAAAACATTTTGATTGGACCAACCTTTTCTACGTGAAAACAGACATGGAAAAGATGTATTTATTCTTAACCTTCTAGGGACTAACGATCAAATCAGGAAATATAACAAAATAAATAGTTTACTATGATTATATGTCAGTGTTTGATATTAAAATAAAAACTGACTTTTCAAACAGTAGCAAGAAAGTTTTTCTTCATCACATGCTATTTTTTTTTAAAAATTATTCAAGTGCTCGCAGTTTATGGAAAGTCATTTAAGACTTTTTTAATCATTGAATTATTGAGGTTGTAAAGCATAAAATAATAAACTCAAAAATTCAGTTAAAAAAAAAATGCATTTGATTCATTTTTTTTCTTAGGTGGCTGTTACAAAAGGATTTTTAAAATTAACTTTTACTTTATGGCATAATTACTGATTTTTACGGGAGATTAAAACTGAATAATTTTAAAATGTCAGAATTTAAGAAAAAAAAAAACCGCTGGTGAATACATTTAAAAATCAGTGCTTCTTCATGAAAACAAAGAAAACCCTTCTGACACTTACCAAAATTAAATGTCTATAAGGTTAATCTTTATAGAAATTATTTTCTTTTCAAATTATTGACTTTTATTCAGTATAAACTCACCAGTTCATATCTTTAGACAGTTTTCCTGACTATTGCTTAGATTAATAAGAAATGCTAAAGTAGACAGTCTTATCTGCTAAATTCAGCTTGGTGTTGTAGGATCATAATAAATATCATTTTGAAAACTGCTATATTATGTTAAAGATATAGATTTGGGCTGTTTGATATTTTATGGTCAGAGGAGAAGGTTTGAAGTGGGTGGAAAAGAAAAATGTATGTGCCACCCATTTTTTTTTTTTTTTTTATTTTTTTAAAATTATCCTTATGAATGATTTTGATGTATTTGTCTTTCAGAACAAACTTCATGTTGGCTAGCTTTAACAATGACTTTTTGAAAAATAAAACCCAAAATCTAAATCCCAAAAACAAAAGTTTAAAAATGTTATCACTTGTATTATTTCTTCTTTTGGTTCATGTATTTGAAAGTTATAAGTCAACTTGTATAGAAAGGATACTTTTCCTCTGTTTATATTAGGAAAATCTGTATACTATTTTCTGACTTAGTTGTTAAAATCAAAATACCATTAATAGTACTTTGTTGGAATTGCATAAATACTGATTTCTTTTGACGGGATACTATATTTCCAAAGTTTAACTCGACATTGGTATTTTTTTTTTTTTCATTTACTCATTTATTTTTTATTTTTTTAATGACCCCTCTCTTCATGGAGAAAGAAATCAAAGTGTGGGTTTGTGGACATCAAGAGAGACACGCAATAAAAGGAAACTGACTGTCTCATACTTTCCAATGATTGATGCAAGTTCATTTTATTTCTTGTCTCATTTGCTGCTGCTGTTTCAACTCACAACTGCTCAGTTTAGTAGTTTGTAAGAGTTTTGCTTGATAGAAAGCCAGGCAGAGCAAGCAAGCAAGCAGGCAGGCTTTCCCCCCAATACACCAAAACTAATTGTATGGAAATCTGCAGACTGTTGGTCTTCTTCATCTCTCAATTAGCTCTATCAATTCAGGCTGTCTTTTATTTCAAGTCAATTTGAAACTTGTGAGCCACATCATTTGGTGAATTCTTGCCTTTATTATACCCCCCTCCACTGCTGGTCGCCCCCCCCTTTTTTTTTTCATTCATTTATCTTATTTACTTTGCAAGTCAGGCAAGGTCTTGTGAATAAAAATAATATAAAAAAATTTTTTTTTTCAATTCTTTTTTGTATACTTTAAAAAGAGATTTTAACTTGCCTTAACTGATGCATACTATTTTATTTAAAAATAATTGTTGAGTATATTTTGTATAGTTTGGTATGGCCCAAATAAATCACTTTTGCAAAACTATAAAAATAATGTTTCTTTCATTTTCATAGTTTAAAATATAACAATTAGTTTATAAAATAATGGTTATTAAAATAACTGATTTATTACAGATAGAAGTCTGAGAGTTGAAGATATTGTTGCACGCATGTAAAAATTTCTTCTGGCTTGTGGTATTGTTTGAAGAGGTCACTTATTTGTTTACTCATGTCTATAAAATGTGATCACTTAGTGAATATTCAAAATTGAGTGTTACCAAGTAGGTGTTTATATTTCTGTAGATTATTTCAAAAATTTTATTGCAAAAACCTTTTCCACTATCCCACAGGAAATTTACTTTGCAGAAATTACTCCAATTTATCATAATTTTAGCTATATTTTGGCTATTTTTTTAAATTTTATGAATTGAAACCAATATTTTCTGAATTAAAAAAAAATTGTCAAACAATCTAAAATAAGTGATTGCAAATGGAACACCTAAGCTTGGAATATTTTTTATCTAATAGCAAAAAGTGTACACATTTTCATATAAATATTAACTTTCTTAATTGCTTAGATTTATGCAATTAATCACACACCATTTTGATAGTTTAAATTTTAAACCTACCACTTAATCCTTGCCATTTTTACTTTCTTTTTAAAGTCTGTTTTTCTCTGTAAGTTATTCTCTATTCTCCAAAGTAATAAAACTGCCATTGCTATCCTATGTGATTTGGGGATTTAAATTTTGTGCTCCCTTTCCCAACTGAGTTTGTGTGGTCTGAAAGTGATTAGTGAGCCATGATAGACACTCTCTTCCTTCTCATCCACTAACCCTGTCTGCCTGTGCTTTGGTTCTTCAAGAAATTGGGATACTGACGAGTCTCTGTCTATATCCCCATCACCACTTTATCTCTCTGTCTTGTCATTTGAGCTCTCTCCTGCACTTCATACATTACATTTTAGTTGTGACATGCGGCACTTCACTTAACTAAATCCTTCATTAGGACACCTCTGGTTGACTGATGAAAGAATGACAGAAAATAAATAAAAACGGTAGGAACGTATTTAGGGTACACAGATCAAAAGCGCATTAAAGATTCATACTTTTCTTTTCTTTAAAATAAATAAACTCAGGTGCAATGTTTGTTTTTTTTTTTATTTTATATTATTTTATTTTTGTACAGATTTTTTTTTTATTGCCGTGACTTTTCTGAATCAATCCATTGTATGTGTATAATTTGTACATTATGTAAAAATTTATTGTGCCTAGCAAAGCACCATTCTCTTTTATTTCCTAGATTCAATTGGCTACTTTTCAATAATCAAATTGTGATTTTTTTTTTTTTTTTTTTTTTAAAGAAAGAGAGGCATTTAGAATCATTAGATGATGTTAATACATTTCTTATTATGTTTTAAGTTTCCACTAGATTTGATCTTGCCTTTTGGCATAATTTGTTCGGATTGTTTTAAAAAGACTTGCACTTTTCCTTTCAGTCTCCCCCCCCCCTCCCTTATAATATGGAAAAGTGAAAGTCGCTTCGGGAAAAAGTTAACATACGCTATTTCCTGTTTTGGTGATTGCAACTTAGTTTGGTGCCGTCACCCCCGCTGACTACTTTGGTATGAAGTGTTTACTATCAGTTGTTTGAGGGCAAAAGACTGACTGACTGACAGACAGACAGACATAAAATAG